AAACTTCACAACCCTTCAAATTACAAAGGTTAAAGATATAGAGAGTTGTGAAAGGTGGATTTACTATTTTTGCAGTTTATTTTTTTTAAAAAAGTTACTTTTTGAGATATCTTCATCATTAAGTATGTGAAAATTTGTAAATATTACTATATGACAAAGGGTACTTTTGTCACCTCTATAAGAGGTAAAGTTGAAATTTTTACTAAAAGACAAGAGCACTCTTTAAATAAAATTCTCAGACGCTAACTTTGAAAATGGCATTATACTTTTGTAAAAATTTCAAAATTGCCTTTGATTAATAGTTAAGTTACATATTAAAATAATTTTCTAAACACAAAGTAATCAACTTTTTGAGATATACACCCATCACAACCCCTTCTAACTTTAACCATTGTATTTTGAGGGGTTGTTAACTCTAGACAAATCATATATATATATATATATATATATATATCTATAACTCAAATCGGTGCTCGTTGGTTCTCACAACCACTTTTATACTTTGACTCACTTTATCTATAAGTAGGTGTGGGGCTTGCGTAATGTAGTTAAGGCTGAATTGAAGTTGCTTTGAAGAGCTACTGAAATACCAAAGGCGAACAACGAACAGGACTTCTAGGCCAAGGCGTCTGGCAGAATGATTGGCCTCCTACACTGGAAGCGAGACAAAATGGGTGAGCTTCTAGTATGTAGGCATTTTGAATGGAGGGTTAAGATTACCCCAATCACAATGTTATGTCTCTACACTATTTTATTTTTAATTTTTTTTTCTATAAACTATTTTGACACCAAATTTAGGACATCTATTCTTCTATTACACTCGCACTAGCAAAAAATATAAATGACCAAAATACCTCTGAAAGATTCAAGGGGTATTTTGGTCATTATATTTTATCAAAAATTTATTTTTAATATTTTTTAGAGGTGCACCCCCAATGAGAAGATGGTTATACAATTTGTATAAAAAAAGCTAAAAATAAAATACTTTAAGACATCAGATCTAAGATCAAACGGTGAGTGGCTTTCTTGATCAAAATTGGACGGCTAGATGCTAGGGGGAGGATATAACTTGTATGCTGTAGGGGAAGCATAGAAACCTTTCCGAAAAAGAGAGGGGAGAGGAAAGACTAGATAAACAAAAAAAAAAAGAGACACTAAGGGAATCAAGAGCATGTTTGGGTATCTCCAGGATAGTCCAATCCAGATTATGAGTGGAAACCACAATTTGGGTAGCATTAATGGTAGGAATAAGCCTATCCTGCAGATTGCATTATCTGCCCCAGTGTTTAAAAAAACGCCGAGTCGAACCGGACTCGCCCCGGTTCGACTCGGAATCGCCATGGACGGATTGAATCGGTGAAAAAACCGGGAATCGTCCGGTTCTAGAGAGAACCGGACGATTCTGCACAGTGACTCGCGATTCACTGTACGGAATGGGCGAGTCCCGTATGGAATTTTTTTTTTTTTGTAATCCATGATAGATTTTTTTGTAATACTTGATCGATTTTTTTGTAATCCATGATCGAATTGTTTTTTTTTTTTTGTAATCCATGATCGAATTTTTTGTTTTTGTAACCCATGATAGAATTTTTTGTAATCCATGATTGAATTTTTTGTAATCCATGATCGAAATGTTTGTTTTTTTTCTTGTAATCCATGATCGAATTTTTGTTTTTTTGTAACCCATGATAGAATTTTT